CAAGCCTGGATGACACTTAGTGTAACCTTTCCACTGAAAACCAAAAAATATGTATTTTTTTCCTGTTAAAGAGAAGTCTACAGTAGAAGTTGAGAACCTTACAGCCGCTTTGCTCCTTTCCAGTGTGCAATTGTACAGAGTGATTCTAGAATTATAAGTGCGTGATTCTATAATCAAACATTCATTTACTCTAGCAGGAGCCCTGTTTTCCCATTACTATTCTGTCTTTTTTTCATACCCAAGGCTTTGCAGAAATTCTAGTCTTCTTTCATCAACTAAAATCTGATTCTTTATCATGTTTTCCACTTCTTGTTGCACTGCCGGTGGATTCTGTATTTCTTCACTTGCCATAAATTCTCTGTAGGGTGTAAGAACACTCTGAAATAAATACCTGCTTTGGAAACTTTCACATTTGAAATGAAAACGCAAATTGTGTTTTTTATATATGAGATTAAAGAAGGAGGTTAAATTCTTTTAGCCTTATAAAGGAAAAGGAATAAAATACAATTTTAATAAAAAAGACAAACGATCCTTGCTCACTAGTACTATTGATACTCCAAAACATAATCAGTTTTGAAATTTCAGACCTGAAACTGTGAAGCGCATAGCTCTTTTGCAGGAGCCTCCAGTCCTTCACCTTATCTTGCCATTTCAACCTGTGTGATAATTCCCTTTTCAACTCCATTTTCATTAGATTAAAGAACAGTTTGGCAATTGCCCTCCGATTGGCCAATAGGGCTCTGTTAATAATCTGTTTATTAAAACATAAAAACAGAAACAAGAGCAGCACACAACATGCAAGCAAGAAAACTGACAGCTCTATGTTGAGCTAACTGATTACAGAAGAAAGAATACAAATATTCAGACCTGCCCTGCAAAATGGAAAATGCTCTTCTGTATTATTGTGATTGACAGGTAGAAATGATGGGTTTCAGGTTGACAAAAGAAGAAAGATTCTGGGAGTATTCCAGCTTGCCATCTTCTAACAAGCAGATGTGACTCAATACAAAATACTTACCATGGCTTCATCATTCATGAACCTGTAGACATCAGGTGGTAAGAGGAAGGAAATGTCCTCCAACATCACGGTGTACTTTCTCAGTACATCTGTTATCTGTGCGATAAAGTAAAAAAAGAGACGTGAGTAATTGAGAGATCAGTTTCTTGACTGACTCTGGTCTTCTCTGGTCATTTTTGTAACTAATCAAACAGAAAAATTACTAATGATGCTGTTGGAGCTATACATTGTGTCTGCAATACAGAGACAGCTTTCGGTTGCTTGTAAGGACAAAGCAGCAAAGACTTTATCATGGACTACCCATTTATTAAGCCAAACATTTACCTGGGATCCTCAGCGTCCAGTAATCTCTTCCTGATTATGCTTGCATAGAATCAGAGAAGGAGCTACTAGCGAAAAGGCAGTGATCATCTATGTATCAAAAAACACTGCAGAGCTCTTTGACTCTTAATTTTTTTAAAAAAAGCTATTATTTGGCTCTATACCCAGCATTATGATTAAATAATAATCTCATGATTAATTAACAGTCATTAAAACTACAGCTCACTTTGTCAGTTCGACTCCATTCGACCATTTTTAAGGTTTCATCCATTTCCCTAATCCACTTCTTTCTGGTCAAGAACTCCTCGTGGACGACATCCCACAGTTCTTCCAAACTCTGCAAGAAAGATTTACTAGCAATTTCACTGAAAAACTAGAAGTAAAAGAATGCAATTATATCTCAAAATCATAGGTAGACATAGAAAGATATGTTACACAGACCAAGTGGATTGCAAACAATGGATACAAATAACTGAAAATGAGAAGAGCTGCCTTACTTCTATTGAGAAGCCTTCCAGATCAGTATGGAGCTCAATCTTTTTGAACAGAAGTTTGATTTTTCTATCTGATTCCAATAGTTTTGACAAAAGCAAATTTCCAGGCTCCAAAACAAAAGGTTCCATTTCCTGAAAAGGTAAGGAAGTGGGGTGGATCTTCTGAATATTTGTTCCTACCTTTTGCACGGCACTCTAAGCTACCTGAACTGCAAGATCCAGTCTTACCCTAGCAATGCAGGCCAGTTCATGATGCATTAAGGTCAGTGCTTCATCATGACGGCCTCGCCTGCGTCCTGACAGGCGATCCAAAATATTGCTGCTTGTTTTCTCAGCAACTGCCAAGAAAGAATGAGACTGGTGGAGTTTGGAACTGCTGCTGCAGTAAGGGTAAGGCACACACAATAAATCACTAAATCAATAGCCTTTATATCTTGTGCAGCTTTTGCAGTGCTTGACAGCTTTTTGCAGAAAGGAAAGTCTAGATTAATCTAGGTTAAAAACTGCAAAGCTAAAAAAATAATTGTTATTTCCTTTAATTTTATTAATTTGTGATTTTTCAGAAGGATAAAAGCATGGATAGGTTTGAGTATGGTGTGAACAGCTGCAACTTCCAAGAACAGCAGCAGCTTACATTCTAACTGGAACTTACTGTGTGAATACATGTTTTGATAAGCAACTACAATTTTACAAGTTTTTTTTTTTCTTTCTATAGATAGAGGCTTCATCTTCAACATTACTTAGAAATCAAAAGTATGCCAGCTCATCTTTGAGGTTCATTTTGTACATTTTCAGCCTTGTTCACCTCAAGCCATTACATATAAGGTGGCTCCTAAAAAAAGGCTAACTAAGAGAAATATAGAAACCAAGAGAAATAATTTTTACCAACAAAATCAGGTAGGGCTCTGACTTCCTCAACTGCAATTATAGCTTCACTTTTCCAATCCTTTTGAAATATTGAAGCTTCCCTAAATTAGAAAGAGAAATCATTTGATCTGTGCTGAATATGTAAAAGAGCCACAGATCAAATTAATTGGCAAAAAACATAACATTTAAGTAAACATAAGCATCCTCCTAACATCAATATAAATCGGGTGATGGGTCATAGAATTAATGTTCCTGCTTTGGGCAAATAGGACTAACTATCAACTAGTTGTTGCTAAACATCCAATGTCCTATGATGGCATAAAAGCAGTAATAGTAGATTGAATACCGGTAAACTGTGAAGATGTACCAATAAATTAAGTAATAACCAGCAAAATACATGAAAACAGCCTTTATCTGCCCATTGCTCTTCCAAACAGCTGGGATACTGTATTTCTCTCTGGAAGAAGTGGGAAAAAGGGAGTGATTGTTCAAGAAAAGAGGCAGGCTGCAATGCATGGAGGTTCCGGTTTATTTTCTTGTTCATGCCCGCAGCTTATAACCAGGCTGGAAAATCCTGCAGCCATTTCTGCTGATGTCACCTGCGTCCACTGATGTGAGATCCAAGCCAACGAGGTCTATTAATATGGTTTTCATACTTACAAAATGCAGGAAACTAAACAACATAATAGTGAGAATATCATTACATAGATGTGATAAAGAGCACAGACAAAGTAAGTGTTTTAATCAAGATTTCAAGACTAACACACACTCCAAATCTTACAACTTCATGCCCACTGTCATAAACATATAATCATGGACTTGTACTTCTTTCCTATACCTGCGCAGCACTGGCTTTTCTGTGAACTCATTAGATGGCAGTTTTTCAGTGCACCTCTGTTGGTAACATGATAGTGGCTTCTCACTAGTGCAAATTTCCACATCCTTAACAAAAGGTACTTTTTCATACTTCGTAGAAATGGCAGCCTTACTCCTTACTTCACCCAAAGAGCGAACTAAATGAACCTTCAAAAAAACACAATAAAATGGTTAGAACTCTTTCCGAACAGATTGACCATATAAGAATAATACAGAATGACTAAAAACTGGGAAATAACGGTCGCAGAAAGGGTAAAATATCAAGAATTCATTAGCACATGCCTAATGGTTTTCAGAAAAACTGAAGCAAGCTCATGTGCCTTGCTTATGGTTACAAGGAAAGGCAACAGCAGAGCCAGAAACATGACCTGGATAATCCTGGAGTTATTGTGTGGAACACACGCTACCTCACACTGGTTTTCCTTTTAAAAACCCTACAGCCTATAGCACTAGTCAAATTCTGAGCATGACTTGCTGCATCTCTATCATTTACTGCTATTTTCACCTGATTTTGCATTAATTTAGTATTTCCTGATACGAATGGAGACATAGGAAAATAAATGCATCCATTAGATAGCAGCACCTTAAAATGGCACAATTTTCTGCAAAACTGAACACAGAAAGTTTCCAATTAACCCCTGGTTTAACTTCACAGCTTTAAGAGTAAGGAAACAACCAACCAAGAGTTTGGCTTTTGCCACAGGTGCAAAAATTTGGAAAAAAAAAATATATATACCGCATCTTCAAAGATCTGCTTGTAGATGTCGTTGCTGGGGACGACGCGGACCACGGCCGCCATGGCAACGCCGAGAGGGCGGAGCCTGTTGCCGCGGCAACGCGGGAGCACGGCTCCGGCCTAGCCCGGCCGCGGCCGCCCCGTGAACAACTGCGTTTTTTCCCCTTAAGATCGAACGACAAAAAAAAAGAACGAACGGAAAATGAATAAATAAATAAATCTACATACACATAAAATGGCCCTTCAAGGATCATAAAGCAAATCACACAATGACAAGAGGTTTTTATTGAGCAGTGGTGGTAACACTGGCAGCCACTCAGGTGGTCCCGTTTCTAGGATTATTTTCCTCAATCCACCCCCCATTACAAAAATATGGAGGGAAGGGGGCAGCTGTGCCAGAGCAGTTCTGTAAAAGTTAATCACCAAGTCCTGCATGCAGCCCCATAACGTTGGTGTCTGCAGGGACTAGCTGCCCCCTCTCACTTGAGACCAGCTTTCTTCAAGTCCTCTGGCAGCACGCGCCCTTTCTTGCGGGCTTTGTTCTTTTTGCGCTCTATCTTCTCCTTCTTCTTCTTCTGAATGTTCTTGCGACGCTTTTCCTGACGCTGTTGCATCTTTTCTACTACCTTCTCCGTCCGCTTCTCCCACTGCTTCTTGCGCTGGGCTTTGCGCTTCTCCTTGCGCTTCAAGGCTTCTTTCAGACGCTCCTCGTTGTCACGAATCTTCACGCCTTCGGCCTTATAGAGAGCGTTTGTCCATTTCATCTTATTCTCCAGCTCCTGAGCTTTCTTCTGGTCTTTGTCCTTGAGCTCCTCTAGTTTATTCTTCCTGATCTCCAGCCTGCTCAGCAGCTGCTTGTAGTTCCTGCCGGTCAGAGGTGTAATGTTGCCTTTCACCGCTTTCCTCTTCTCTTTTTTCTTCTGGATCTTGCTCAGCTCATTCTCTTCATGGACTTCAACCTTGCTAAAGATAATCTCAGCTGTGCTTGTGCTCTCCTCTTTTTTGCTTTGCGGCTCTACAGGCTTTGTGGCCTCTGTTGCCTTCTTCTCCATTTTCTCCTTCATCTTCAGCTCTTTTCTTCGACGCTTCTTCCTCTCTTTCTCGTATTTCCTTCTACGCCTCTTCTCCAAGACAGCAGGGGATAACTCTTTGGCATCATCCTAAGGAAAGGTTTGACATAAATCAGTTGCTGTAAAGAGAATTAGAAACGGGACGTACTCAAGCTCCTGATTTCAAACTTCTCATAAGCAGCACAGTATCTTTTACAAGAAGTTGTGAGTTCAGCTTTTTAAGGCATTAAACACGGCTCCTTTCAGATTCCCAGTGCAGTACCTCTTCCTTACAGATTACCAGAGGCACACACTCCTCCAGAGCAGGCCATGCCTAGTTTCCCTTATTTCTTGGGACCATAGAATACATGCAGGATGCCCAACACTGCTTGTAAGCACTTCTTTGTAGACAGCAGTCAACTCAAACCCTCAACCTAGCAAGATCATAGTCCTTCCCCCCACTCTCCCAGGAGACCTGACAAGAATTTATATTGCATATATAAATCCACATACATTAATGTGCATTATATACACTATCAAAATTCTCTTACTTGACCAGAAGCTTTTTTAATCTTCTCATGTAGCCTCTGACGCAAGAGGTTCATTGCAGAAAAAGAAGGTGAATTGACTTGACTTTGGCTATCTGGGAACAAGAGGCAGAAAAATAGAGCAAATTACTTAAAACAGAGCACCAACTAAACAGAATTGTTTTGGCTGATTCCAGAAGGACAGGTATGAAAGAACCAGAAAATCTCTGTGAAGCTGCAAACATAAGAAAGGAAATTCTAAAGGGACAAGCAGTTCCTCTTTTCGTAGTTTCTTTAGCATTTCCCTTCTATCCACATCATCCTTGAACACTGCCAGTCCACATGCTGTATGGCTTTCAAACACGCCTGAAGATAAATACCCAGGTGGTAGAAACAAAGACACCAAAGACATCTTTTCCACTCAGCTGGCATTTGAGATTCATATGGAAGGCTGTCATGGAATGAAAGAGATTGCAAATATGCCACAATTTCCAGAAGTTAGCTATATATATAAAAAGCCCGTGACGGATTGAAGGCTGGTATTTTTAGAGAGCCACCCAGTGGTTATATTAAAAAAAAAAAAAAAAAAAAAAAGTGATACACAAAAATGGCAATATAAGGAATGAAGCAAACAAGGAGAAATTTTCAATTCAACTAGATTTTTAAAACCTTTCCAAACTGTACACATGTGAAACAACTGGAATGCAGCCACATCAGCTCAGGTAATTTTAATCAGGTTCTTACCTGTAACCGAGCTCTCATTTTTGCTCTGCTTAACCCCTTGTGGGGATGACGTGCTGGGCTGAGCGGCTGCTTTCTGCGCGGGGGCAGCTTTGTTGGATGCCAGCCGCTTAACTGGAGGACCATTCGCCTTCTCATCTTGGTTTCTAGGCCTCTTCCTCCTCTTTTTCTTGTGCTGCTTGCCGGCATCTTCAGGCTGGCCTGGCTTCCATTCTAATAAGAAAAGGATAGCAATAAAAATAAGCACAAGAGAGTTAGGTGAATCCTACAGCGATATGTGCCCCAGGCGCCGCTCCGTTACCGCGTTTCCTCTTGGGCGGCTCGGGGCCGCGCTGCGGGCACACGCGGCTCGCCAAGCGCTGCAGGTACGAGTCCTGCGCGGCCAGGCTGGCGCCGGCC